GCCCAGTTCCCCCCCAGTCCCCCCCAGTCCCTCCCAGTTCCCTCCCAGTTCCCTCCCAGTCCATCCCAGTCCCTCCCAGTCCATCCCAGTTCCCTCCCAGTCCCTCCCAGTATAAACCAGTTCCCTCCCAGTCCCTCCCAGTTCCCTCCCAGTCCATCCCAGTTCCCCCCAGGAGTACGGGCCGCGTTTCCGGAATTCCCTCGGGAATCTTTTCCTGGAATTTTTGCTCCGCCTGGAGAGCGCCCTTCCCCCACCCGACCTGGCCCAGGTGAGCCCCGCACGAGGTGGGGGGGCGTGGCCTTACCAAGCCACGCCCCTTTCCCTCTTAAACCCCGCCCCTTTTCCCTTATATGGCGCAGCTCGACGCCCTCTGCCGAAGCCACGCCCCCCCGGGCTTCAAGACACGCCCCCTCCCCATCCTGCGCCGCTATTTGGCCGAGGTTGGCCATGCCCACCCGGGTAGGCGGGGCTTAAAAAGGGCGGGAAAACCGTATGCAAATTAGGTGGGGAATTAATTCAAAGCCACGCCCACAGCGCCGGTGCCACGCCCGATCCCGGCTCGGAAAACCACGCCCATGTGAGTGGCCACGCCCACAAAGCCGTCATCGTAATTAATATGCTAATTAGGCCGCTAATTAATCACCGGTTATAATGCAGGGTGAAGCCCCGCCCCCAGCGCCGCAGGCTCCGCCCACTCCGCTTCTCCCCTTACCGTGAGTGCGGAAGCTCCGCCCCCTCATTAGCATGGGGCAAACCATTGTAACGCTGGGGGGGGGGGGCCAGAGCAGCCAATGAGGTTTCGAGGTGGGATTTTGTGGGCCAATCGCAGCCAGGCGCGGCTGGAGAGGGGTGAGACGTCGGCCGTGACGTCACGGAGCGTCTAAACAGCGAAATTTGGGGTTAAAAAGGGCATTTTTTGGGTTTTTCCGCGTTTTTTCCTCTCCCCCCGCGCCAAACGGGAGAGCGGGCGGGAGCCGCTTTTGAGTGACAGCCCCTCCAACCAATAGCGCGCGTCCAGAACCCGGAAGCGCTCTCAGAACTACAAGCCCCGCCATTTTGAGTGCGGGCAGTAGGCGGGCGCAGCGCGCTGATTGGCTGAGGAGCCGGAAGCGCTCCGTCCGCCATTTTGGATCCGGGCAGCCAGGACGCCGCGGCCGCGTCCTCACTTCCGCTTCCGGTTTGGCGGCTCCTGAGGCGCCGCCGCTGCCGCCACGATGCTCATCAAAGTCAAGGTGGTTTTATGGGGTAAAAAACGGGGATTTCGGGCAAATCCGTGGCTTTTGCATCATCTCGGAGTGTTGGCGGGAATGCATGAGGGGATTTTGGGGTGACAAGAGCGGATTTTGGGGGGGTTTTGGGCGGGTTTTTGGCGCGGGGAGCGTGAGGGGAGCGCGCGGTGCATTGTGGGATGATGGCGCCCCCCGCAGACGCTGACGGGAAAGGAGATCGAGATCGACATCGAACCCACGGACAAGGTGAGCTCCCAGTTTGGACCAGTATAAACCAGTTTGGGGTGGTTCGGACGGGTATGAACCAGTTTGGGGTGGTTTGAGGCTGGGGGGTAATCGCCAGGGGGTTTCCCAGTATGGCCCAGTTCATCCCAGCTACCTCCCAGTGCTCCCAGTATGGTCCAAACTGGTCCCAGTCCATCCCAGTCCCTCCCAGTTCCTTCCCAGTTCCTCCCAGTTCATCCCAGTATGATGCAGTCCTCTCCCAGTTCATCCCAGTCCCTCCCAGTTCCTTTCCAGTTCCTCCCAGTCCATCCCAGTCCTCTCCCAGTTCATCCCAGTCCCTCCCAGTATGCCCCAGTACTCCCAATTCCCTTTCATTCCGTCCCAGTTCACCCCAGTTCCCTCCCAGTTTATCCCAGTTCCCCCCCAGTCCCGCCCAATTCCCCCCAGTCCCTCCCAGTCCATCCCAGTCTCTCCCAATCCCTCCCAGTTCCCTCCCAGTCCATCCCAGTCCATCCCAGTCCCACCCAGTTCCCTCTCAGTCCATCCCAGTATGGCTCAGATCCTTCCCAGTTCATCCCAGTATCCACCAGTCACCTCCCAGTTCCTTTCCAGTCCCTCCCAGTTGCTTCCCAGTCCATCCCAGTCCCTCCCAGTTCCCTCCCAGTCCATCCCAGTCCCTCCCTCCACCATCGCCCCTTTAAGCCCGGTCCCCCCCATTTACAGCCGCTTTAAGACCATAGACGAGTCCTCCGAGCCGCCCAGCGCGCCGCGTTAGCCCCGCCCACTTCCGGCGTCGCTCCATCCCTCACTTCCCGTTCTCTATGGCCATAAAAATGGCGGCGCCCGCTGCCGGAGCTCCCGGAGTTCCAAAAAGCGCCCCAAATCTGCCCCGAAATATCCCGAAATGTCCCCAGATGTGCTCCAGGTGTGCTCCAGATGTGCTCCAGGTGTGCCCAGGTGTGTTTTTTGCGGCGCAGGTGGAGCGGATCAAGGAGCGCGTGGAGGAGAAGGAAGGGATCCCCCCCCAGCAGCAGCGGCTGATCTACAGCGGGAAGCAAATGTGGGCGGGGCTTTCGGGGAGGGGGCGTGGCATCAGGGAGGGGGCGACCAATGAGGGAAAGGGGGCGTGGTCTAAGGGAAAGGGGGCGTGGCCTAAGAGGGCTGGGGAAGGGGGCGGGGCTTAAGTGGGGAGGGTTGGGGGGGAATGGGGGAATTTTGGGTTAAAAATTTGGGAATTTGGGGTTGAAAATTGAGGATTTTTGGGTAAAAATGGTGGGATTTCGGTGCAAATTGGGAGTTTTAGGCGGGAAATGGGGATATTTGGGTATTTTGGGTGAAAAATTGGGGAATTTGGGGTGAAAAGTGGGAAATTTGGGGTAAAACGTGGTGAAATTTGTGGGAAAATTTGGAGTTTTGGGTGAAAAATTTGGGGTTAAAAATTGAGGATTTTTGGGTAAAAATGATGGAATTTGGGTGGGAAATTGGGAATTTGGAGGAAATTGGGGGTTTTGGGTGAAAAATGGGGAAATTTGGGTGGGAAAAGAAGGAATTTGGGATAAAAATGGGGAAATTTGGGTGTGAAATTGGAAATTTGGGGTAAAAATGGGGGAGTTTGGGGGGGAAAATGGGAATTTTGGGGGGAAATTGGGAATTTTGGGTAAGATTGGGGAAATTTGGGGGAAATTGGGGGTTTTGGATGAAAAACGGTGAAATTTGGGTGGAAAAAGAAGGAATTTGGGTTAAAAATGGGGAATTTTGAGGGAATTGGGAATTTTGGGTGAAAAATTTGGGAATTTTGGGTGAAAAATTTGGGAATTTTGGCTTAAAAATTGAGGATTTTTGGGTAAAAATGATGGAATTTGGGTGGGAAATTGGGAATTTTGGGGGGAAATTTGGGATTTTGAGTGAAAAATGGGGGAATTTTGGGGAGAAAATTGGGAATTTGGGGTAAAAATGGGGAAATTT